GATTGATTTGTATGACTTATATTTAATTTGTTTTATATATTTTTTTAGTTTACATCATTATCTATCTATACTATCTATATTATATTATAAAACATGTTAAACGGTTATTATTAAATTTTTAAGAGGTATAAATTGTGATCCATTATGTACAATTTTTGAACTTTTACAACTTCTATGTTCAACATGATAATTAAAAATAAAATTATTTTTTATTATTAAATTACACATTACACATTTATCATTAGTTATTTAATTTAACTTATATCTCATTTTTTTTCTATTTTTCATTTTACACCTTCTCATATTAACATATGTAACAATATACTAACAAAAATATATTTGAAACGTTTTTTTATAATTTATATCATTATAATCGTCTCTTCAATGCCTTCAAAATGAAACAAATATTGAATATTATTAAATTTAATAATATTATTAAATATGATAAATAGGTACTGATGTTTTTTAGTATCTTAATTTTTTATTTTTCATTTTCCATTTTACACCTTTATTTATCTACACTATATTATTTATTATTGTTGTTGAATTTTAACTGTCATTATGCATTATTTACAAGTTTCTAAATCCCCCATTCATCATCCCCATCATTTCCTTTTTTTCTGACATTATAAAGTCGCACTATCTACACTTAATATTTACTCATCAACTATTTTATGTTTTCAAGACAATGTATGTTAAAAGACGAATCCAGCATTTTATAGATTCAATAAATTGCTTAAACTCACAGACTAATTTCAATATTCAATATATTATGTCCTTTTACATGGTTCTATTTCGATAAGTTCGTCTTATAGTTTTTTTTGTTTGAAAAGTATAATACTATGATATTTTCAGTATTTACAAATACCGTTGATCTTAAGATGAAGATTGAAGTTGTCAAAACAAAATTTTCAAATTCTTTTGAGATTTAGAGATAGAACTATTTTTTCAAGAAAAACCCTATTTGATGGATGCTTATTATAGACTTCAACTTTCGTATTTCTCATTTAGTTATCAAAATATCATTTTACTTACAAACAACGTCATAATTTAAAGGGTAGAACATTTTATAAATAATTAATTAATTTTTTTATTTACAAAAAAGTTTTATATTTAGTTACATTATCACACACACACACATATATATATATATATATATATATATAGAGAGAGAGAGAGAAGCTCATTCAAGGGAGAATTGATTAGTTTGTGATAACTGTGAGATTCAATCTCAACCACAAATCAACGGATAAATTAAGAAATTAATAATCATGGTAGTTTGAGTTAAAATTATAATTAGAGGGCATTTTAGGTATTTTTAAAAAACTCCTCTCTCCTCTCTCATCTCTCCGACYTYCAATCTCCGGCCTCCGGTGAACATTAATCCGGCAGGTACCAAGTAATCACAAAGATACACAATGTGATACCCATTGTGATATATTGTGATATCATTGTGATACCAACTATGGTACCAACTCAAACCTTAAAAACAAATATATACAATGTGATGCCCCCATTGTGATATGCTGTGATATCGATTTCATCGGAGGTCGGAGAGATGAGAGAGGAGAGAGAAGTTTTTTAAAAATACCTAATATGCCATCTAATTATAATTTTAACTCAAACTACTATAATTATTAATTTCCTCACAGTTACCACAAACTAATCAATTCTCATTTGATTAGGCCCAATGGTTTTCATGAGACCCGTAAGACCAATTTTCAACTCTTGGATTAGATCTACAATCTGAACATTCATAAACGCCACGAGACTTCTCAATAATCACAAAATTGTCACCGTGCAACTTTAGACCATTAGATCATTAGTTTATAAAGTTGATCAATGAACATAAATTGGTCTTACGAGTCTCACGAAAAACCATATATATATAAATTGGGTTCACGTGAAACCCGTAAAACCAATTTATGTTCATTGATCAACTTTATAAGCTAATGATCTAACGGTCTAAAATTGCACGGTGGCAATTTTGTGATTATTGAGAAGTCTCGTGGCAATTTTGTGATTATGAATGTTCAGATTATAGATCTAATCCAAGGGTTGATAATTGGTTTTACGGGTCTCACGAAAAACCCTTGGTCTCACATGATCCCAAGTCCATAGTTTTGAAGTCCAAAAAAAAATGTTGATTTTGTGGATGGTCACAACTAGATACAGAATATACAACTCACCCGAGATTGAATATCCCTACGTCAATGACGACATAGCTGAGAAAAAGAAAAGCCAATACTCACAAACTCCACCCACAAACCACAACAATTAACAACTATACTCAACGACGATTGAAACACAAGAAGATGATCGTTAGAAGTTTTAAACAATTTCATGCAAGTGATTTTAAAATAACAATTTTTTAATAATTATGTTATAAAACTAACACTTAAGGGTGTTTGGTTAGATGTATTAAACAGCAATCAATAAAAATGAAAATAAAAAAAATTGTTTGGTTTTTTATATAATAATGGGATCATTCCCCAGAAACCCAAAATTTCATTCCTGATTAAACAGGATGGAATAAAAATTCATTTTCATTTTCATTCCTCAACATTAGCCAAAACAAACCCATTAAATATATTGTACACCATAAAAACGAAGAGCAGCTAGTAATAAGGTGACAAAAAATACTTAACATAAGAAAGACAAATACACCAAACTATTCAGCAACTGCCAAACAGTCCCTTGAAAAGAGAAGCGTAAGAAGAAATCTGAACCTTTGATCTCAAACTCACCCATGAAACGCACTTGATACGGGGATTGATCTGATGCATCTCATCCTAGTGTGCATCAAATGATTGAGATCTCTTCTTAAATTTCTCACTTTAGCTCTCCTTCTCGCTGCAACCAAACCCATATAAGAAAATAGTTGATGTATGATAAAAAATAATTAATACAGCAAAATTATTTGAAAAGGAAACAAAGACATGGCCTAAAGAAAATAATGTTACAAACCTAATACCTCCTTCTTCTTCTTCTTAACTAACTATATCATAAGTTTCAATAACTTACTTCAGTTTGGATGTCGAACTTGATCATCAAGTCAAGAATTCTTGGAAGAAGTTGGATCTGTACTCATAAGAACCAACGGTAGAAAAGAGGGGATCGCAAATGCCACACCCAAACAAACGACCGCCATGATCACAACCCACCAGGCTTTGTGTGGGATACCGACCACCAGTTCATCGCAAACTGCCATCCACATAAACACGTTAATATCCAAATTGTGAATTAACAATCAATGGATGTTATGTAAACTGTTAAAACATATGATTTTTCAAGAACTTAAAGTTCTCAAACACCATTTTCATTTACTTTTTTTTAATCGTGGTCCGCACCAGCTTGAATGTACCTCGATTAATCCCATGGGCTCTGAAGTTAACAGTCATGAAACTTGTGATGGCCTTGAGGGACCTCAACAGCGAACTATGAAAGTAAACCCGAGCTTTTACCAGTTGCACGTACCTCAGTTAATCCCATGCTTTTAGAAGTTGCCAGGAAGAAACAAAAGCGTTTCGCAACCATAAACCAGCTTATTTTTTGAGCTTATTGAAAAAGCCTCATTTGAACCATGGTAAACCATAGCTTTTTGAAAAGCTGCTTCAGATAGCTTATTGAGGACTTTTATTCATTTTTCTTCCAATTATCCCCTTATATTTTCCTTTTTATATCATTTACATTGTCATGTGGTTTATCTTTTACCTTTTATCAACATGACTAATTTAACAGCTAGTTTGTTAGCTAACAACTAGCTCATCAATCAACACCTATCTTATCAACTAGTTTGCCAAAAATAGCTTTAAGTTTAGTCGTGACCAACTTTTATAAAGTTAAGAAAAGACCAACTTCTAAAAATATTACTTAAATTTCAGTTCAGGAATAATAGAATTTTAATTATACCCACCCCATACTGTACACCCACTGATGCATATGAAGGAAGATATGATAGAAAAATATCAACACAATAAATAAGATCAAAATTTTAGTTAATTAGATGAAAGTTACCTATGTTATAAATGACCAATTCCCTCTCCTTTCCATGAGGTATCGCAACCACCCCCTCCGGCTCCACAGTCAACATGACATATGTTCCACTCTAAAACCAAAAATCTCGATTATAAACCAAACCAAACAAACCAATTATATCCCACCTGAAGGTGGGGTTCTGGGAAGGGTGAGATGTACACAGTCCTGACCTCCACCCAATGGATAGAGAGGTTGTTTCCATGAAGACCCCCCGGCTTGTGCATAGTGTGGGAAGAAGATTATGAAGAAAGACTTAAAAAGACATTCAAAAAGAAGAATTTGAAAACAAGAGAATGCTGAGATTTTAGAGACAAGTTAGAAGCAAGCAACCAAAAATCATAGAGACCAACAAAGAAACTTGCTAACCCACACAAGTTCACGGAACTATAACCATGTAAGGACTAGGCACCCCTGTCCTAACCAAGGATTCTGGGAGTCAAATTGCCGGCTCACTAACCCTACGCCCATCCTCTACCTCTCCAGATCCTTTCCATCCATCTAAGGGAGCTACACAAACCCTCGGCCTAGTCTGCTATCCTAAGCTCGATTATTAAATCCTCAAAAGCAAGCAATACAGTAAAATACTGAAGCAAGAGCAAACCTCAGACCTGATCATCTTGTAAATCATTCTTGAAAATCAACTTTTCGGTATTCAGTAATTTCCTCTGGGGCTTGAGCAGTAAGTCCGAATTTCCTTTGTTCAGTTGTAAAGAAAAGCTAGCAGGTATCTGCTATTAGATATAGTAAGGTTCTTTAACCACCACAACAAGGTAGTAAACAAGAAGACAATGTATTGTACCTACAGAAGCAGGATATGATATCTTGACTTCATACCACGTCCTCGGCCTAAGCCCTTCAAGTTGGTAGATACGGGATCCACTTTGTAATGGTAGAGTTTCCTTTTGCAGTTCCTCTCCAACATTCAAAATGTTTCTGTCAGCCCTGTAATATGTACAACACAAACATAAAGGCCATGTTTGCAAATTAGCTGATAAGCTAGTAGTAAAAACTAACTGATTAGTTAGATGACAATGTAAAATCACCAAAAAGGCAGCTTCTTGGTCATGTAAGTAAAATATAATGGGCATAATTGGAAAAAAGGAAATGGAAGAAAAACCCTAGACCTTATTGAAACATTTAACTTAAGTAGCTTTTCAAAAAGCTAGCTTATAAGCTAGTTAGTTTATGGCTTACCAAAAGGGACTTTTTCAATAAGCTCAAAAAATAAGTTTGCTTACAGTTGCAAAACATGGCCAAAATAACATAAAAGACCAATCATCCATCAATGAATAGGAATTATACCGACAACTGTAATCATGCAACTGTTGGAAAAATAGTCAAAGACAAATAATTTATCAAAGTATGCTAGAATGTACCTGCATATGACTTGTAGTGTTATCAAGCAAAGAAGAAAGCAACAATGTTGAGTCCTTGCATGTGGCATTCTAGCACTAGCCACTGAGTACACCTTATCTGAATAGAGGAAACATGTAGTTCAAGCAAAGCTTTATTAATTGTTCCATTCCTTACCGAAGTTTAAAGTGAGAAGAAGATAGTACGGGCTTATGAGAGTCTTTTGTGTATAAGCCTGTTGTTTGGAAATTTAGGTGGTGTACAATCATAAAAGTTTATTATACAGCAGCAGAATGAAAAGCAAAAGAAAGGAAGTACTAATCAATTAACAGTAGATACCAAAAGCTAAATTAAAAGATAAATCAAATAACTAGAGTGATATGTCAAGTATGTATTTAATAAGGTAAGTCAAAAGACTTGCAATAAAATTATTTAACATGAATGAAAGTTATTTGATTTGGACCTGACTAATATATTGTATCGAGTATTTTAAACGTAGAGAAAAAATGAAACAATTTTAACAATGTATTTATTTTTATAAACCGAGATATATAGCAAAAGATATTAACTAAAAGAAAATTTAAAATAAAGATGATAGAGTTGGTGGTAGGCATGGTTTTAAAAAACGCCAAAGACATACGCCTTGAGGAGCGCCTCAGGGCGGTTCGGTCCAAAAGCGAATATGAGGCGCTGCCTTTGGTATCCTGTAGGGATGTACGCCTTGGTGGTGTGAGGCTGGCGTTAAGGCTGTGCCAAGGCATGCGGTTCTTTCTCTGATAGAGAATCTCACGTTTTCTATAAGAAAATAACTGAAAATCAGAAAACACTAATACTATAAGGAAACCCATCCGCCTCTTTCCAATGTAGCCCAAGCCCAATTTCTTTTCTTTCGACCAAAACTTCTCCCAAAAGTCAATCGATCAACAAAACAAAGCCTTATACTATTGTCGACTTCTTCTCCTCTCTGGCTCTCTCTTCTGTATTACTTCGATCAACAGAACAACGCCTTATTCTGTTTTTTATGTATAATCTGGTTTTTTTATTAACCTGGATATCCAACCGCTATGCGAGCTAACTAATCCCAGGGCGACCACCTGCTTTGCAGATAGCCTGGAGTCACCGCATCTAGTTTAATGTACATAGTATATGTCATGTTTTTTATATTTTTTGTTAAATGTTATGGATTTATGAATTTATAAATTTTGTTGTTTTACTTTTCAGGGCTTACGTCTCACGTACCGAAGGGGAAAACGCCTCGAGGCTTGTTTCCGTTCTTTAAAACCTTGTACAAAAGTTCTGACTTACTTTTCCAACAAGCCATTGATCAACCAACGACTTACATGAGAACGTAGTTGTCAATGATGAAATCTCCCTTCAGTGAATGATTAATCATCTCGAATCACAAGATTCACGTTAACTTTTAGATTGATTGTAACTATGCTTAAGCAACTGTAAACACACATAATCCTAAGGCTGATTCGACTCCCACCTTAACTGCTTCAGCGTCTTTGATTGTCAAAACATTAATTTAGGTGGTTACTATATGGTTATTAACAATAACAGCCTTCATTTTACTTTGGTTTGATTAAAAGAAAGTTCTAAGTTGCTAAAATAGATGGTTGAATTTTCTTCTTTTCTAAAAAGATATGAACATAAAGAGCAGTAAAAGAACATAGAGTACATAAAAAAGACCTGACAACGGATTACAAACAGTGAAATTTCTCTAGGTTTTGAGATTGGAAACCATCATAGATTCACAAGGAAGTTAGAATGGAAGGAAAGGGAAGAAGTGATGGAAGAAAAAAAATTAGTGAATCTTTTAGTTTAGTTCAAACACCACAAGGATGGTATATGACAATTAAAATCCCTGAAGAAGGGATGGCAAAAAAAATCACGTACCCGACAGAAAATTTATAAACCGGGGATGGGGATACCCCCTCCTCAACACAAACCTTGAGTATTTAATAAACTAATTCTATGTATATATACAAAACCAGGGATCATATACAATATATGGATAGAATAACTATATTTAATCTTCGACGGAAACTTGCAAAAAATTATATCATTGATTTGATTTTTTGTGGAGAAACTTTTCGTGATATAACAATGTGATTGTATAAAATTTCAATCATCAAGTATTGTAATTGATATACTTGTGTTTGAACTAGAATGCATCAACTAAAATTAGGTTGATTAAAGTTTTAGCATGTTATGTCGTTTAAACAGAAAATTGGCATTTATATGTATATCTATACAAGCGAAGGACCGTGTGAGAGAAGCGTAAGAAGGGATTGGACCCTTGATCACCTTTAATCTCAAACCCACCCATGAACCGCACTTGATACAGGGATTGATTCGGTGCATCTCGGTGCATCTAATCCTAATGTGCATCCAAAGGTGGAGATCCCTTCTTATGCTTCTTACCTTAACTCTTCTTCTCACCGGAACCCAACCTTATCTATCTATATATATATATGTGTTTATATATATATATACAGATATTATGCAGAAAATTAAATTGTGTAGACTGGAAAATATCCCCAATTCTTCAATGGAGATATGGATGTTGGGGACAGAATCTTATTCTCCAACAGGGATGGGGAAGGGAATGGGGACCGAGGATCAGGATTGGGGTCCCTAGTAAACCCCGACCCCTTTGCCATCTCTAACCTCAAAGGAGCTACAAGCATCATAGCATAACAAAAACCCCCAAAGGACACAAAATTGGAAAAAGATCTAGAATAAAATGCTTACCACCTACTCGGTCTATCTCCAAGAATTGTTCATATGATTTGGTTCAATTTGCTATAGAAAAGCAATTAACATATACAAGGGTGATTCAGACAAAATTCCTAGTTGACATTTGTTTCATTAATCCAACTACATTGCACAAGTATCATGAATTGAACAACTTGGCCAAAATCGCATCAAAAGTTGTTGATCCCTTCCTCCTTGTCAAGACTTGGAAACATAGATTACAACACTGCATAAGTGGTTTAACTCCTCACTAGTCAAAAAAGAAAACTAAGAAAGAAACTAGTGAAGGTAATGTCATCTAAACTCAATGTGAAAACAAGCAAAAGCCCAAAAGACACTTTCCACGACCTATCAACCTAATAAATCATCCCTCTTTAGATCTTACAAAGCAAACAAAAAACAATATAGAACAAAACAAAGAAAAGGAGAAGAACGACGGCTTACTTTAGAGTGAGGTTAACTGGAATTAACTAAATTCTACAAATTCACCAATGTCCACTAGTATCAATATTCTTTGTGATAGAAAGATCACATATCCAAGTCAGACTCGGAGGTAGTTTATCAACGGCAAATTCTACAAACTTTCCCTTCCAACATTCATAAGCTCCCAAGATAACAAAATAAGAAAAGATTCCACAGCTCCATCATCAATCATATGATAAGTCTTAAAGGACACTCATTCAAAATACCTAATCAACCAAGGATATTCACTAAATGTCTTGATACAAATAACAAAATGAACCTTATTTATATGATATTCACATGAAACATCCAACTCCTACTTCCAGGATAAGGAACTAAAAAAAAGGAAAAAACCTCCCAATCATAAATTCATAATCAGAAGATCAAATAACAAAATCTTGAGGATTAATGTGCATATACTTCTGAGCCCAAAGATTAAAACTTCACAAGCCTTATAAAAATAATTGGAAAAATACAGAAAGGGAAAGAAATCAAAGGCTCTGAATAGACAGAGCCAACTACAATTACATCACACTCCTTTCGTCACCAAAAAGAAGTCAGTTGAATTCTATGTTCCAAAAGCGTTACCCTTATAGTTGATAACTAATTCTTTTGTTTCAAGTTCATTTTACCTAACCAGAATCATGACAACTGGAGCATTTTGGAGTTACCATGTCAAAAAATCATTCGCCAATTTTCAGATTTAAGAAGTAGAAGGATGAACTTCCAAACTCAGAAATCTCTCTTTTAGGAGCCGGGACGAAAAGTTTACAGGAGAGAAATTTGAAAATTGAAGAAAAATGGCGTCAACTAAGCTACTCAGCAAGCCAAACAAACATTAAAGCTAGCAACTTAATTTTTGGGTAATCTGGGAAACCCTAGAAACGATTGCTCAAATATAAACGGAATTAGGGTAACAAAATTGGACAACAAAAAGAATAGGGGAAAACACAACCTACAATCAATAGCAAACTAAACAAGACTTTTTACCTGTTCTTTGTTAAACTCGAAACGATTTCATTGGAAATTTGGAAGAATGAGAGCGAGTACTGATAGCAGTCGAAGTGTGTGCCCCCCGTGGAAATTATGATTTTTGCCCTTCGCAGGAACAAAAACGGTCAATGGGGATTGAGAAGGCAGGTTTGGAAGGGCTGGACCAACACAACAGGCCCATATATGTGTGGGCTCCCGAACAGGCCCATGTAAAACTGCTCAATGGGCCCAATTTCTTCACCAGGTCCAATGGCTAGCCTTGGTATACATAATGCACACATGATTAGACTAGACAGAAAATAATGAGACTGAACAGGACTGAATTGGACCGGACAAGAGAGAGGGATAAAAAGGACAGAACAAGACAAGATAGGACTAGATTGAACATGACTAAACAAGTTGCCCCCAAAAATTGTTTGATGATTTTATATATACATGTAATAGTGATAAATTATGCAATCAAATGATTTAATTTATAACATTTTTACACATTAATTTATACATATGAACCAACTTTTCAAGACTTTACAAACACCATTTCCATTGAATGTAGCAAAACACAAAGTAAGTCATACATCAACATTATCGAGTTCACCTAGAGATTAAGGTCCAAGTATCTAACTCCTCCTAGTATCCACCACAATACCTAACATCATGATGTCTGATTCTACACGAGTACCTACTATAATACCTACACGATCTATATGCCTAGTCATCCACAAGTGGAGCTACCCCTTCAAAGCTAATGGTCTTGGATCCCGACCCTTCCCGAGTGCATCTCCATAAAACCCTCAATGGCTTAGTATCAACTCTATTAGGCCACAACCTCAAACAAGGTCCTATGTCCGAATCCACACACATTCATTACCTTAATACATAGGGTCCCAAAGTCCGGCTCATTGAATACCACCCATGCAACACCCACGATCCTCAAGATCGACTCATACGAGTTTACCTCTTATGTGAGTTTAAAATTTGTAACCAAGCGTACGGAGATGTAGCATACAGGTCGAGCATAGGAAAGCGATGAGATAAACACAAATTCACTCAAGGTTATAACTAGTTACACGAATCGCACACATGGAATGATTATCAGCTAAAAAGGAGACTACACTAAGAAAAAAATAGTAAAAAGCCTAAAGAATATATTACCTAAGCTAGACGACATAAGATTGAATGAAACACATATTGTCAATTTCGGAGCAATTAAGATGGGCATTTGCAAATCAAAAATTACTCTAACCTTCTTTGAAAGAGAAAAAGCCTTTCAAAACGAAAACACCATTTATTTTCATAATGATTAAATTGCAAAGAAGCATGAAGTAAAACAGATACTTTTCCAATCTTTGTATCCACCTATTTTCATGGTGAAACCACAAATCATTGATTGGCCAAACCAAATCAAGGTCAAACCTTTGTTCAAACCTTAACTGTATAAATTAACGTAAGTTAAACAATCACCATTTAGTAAAGTCCTAGCTGTCACTACTGACAATACAAAACAAAGATTTATTAACATGACATTTTGAAGAAAAACCGATCAATATCTCAACTTGAGTCCGAATCAACATACGTATCAAAGACTTCTCATGCAGTCTACTTTAAACATTACGCAAAGAAAGAGAGATAAATGAAATAGAAACCAAACTATCATTTTGCGAGACTCAAAGAAATAAAACATTACTAAAACAATTAACTAGCAATGCTAAAGCTGAAATTGTAGGACATAACCAAGAAGCAAATGGACTCAAATAATAAAGAACATTACTAAATCAAAGACGATTAAACCCAAGAAACTAATTATACTAGAAAAGATAATAGAACAAGATTTAACTATGAAGAAAGTAGCAAACTCGAATGCAGGAAATATGAAATAAAGTGCATAACTAAATTTGAAAGCAGTAAACTAATTAGATCTAGGCTAATATGCAATAAAATAGACTTAAAGCTATGAAGAACTAAGAGAAAGAAGAAGTGCAGAACCTGATGCTGTCAAAATAGAGAAGATGCAGAAACTAAAAGAATTTCATAATCATGAAATACAATTCACATTTGATCCCAGTATATACAAAAGACTACATTACAAAAGTAGCTATCAAATTTTCCACATAATCTCAGCACAAGACTTGTATACATAACAAGTAATAAGGTACATATAACATCAAATCATCCCAAAAATCATATGCAAGCAATCATGAATCTCTCTGTAATTTTCCCTTACCCTTATCGTCCTATTGTGATCGACCTGTAATGCACATTTTAGAACACCACAATGAGGGTTAGATCATGAGGTCTAGTGAAAAATTCCTTTGATTGCTATTACAGGTTGAAAAATCACCAAAAACATTTTTATAAAACCCATATTTGTATAAATAACAAATAAACATCGTTTTATCAAACAAACCTCTTTTGTCGCATCAAAATGATGAGACAACACTCCCTTATCACATCAAACAATAAAGTAACTCATTTCTTGCATTATACATAAACTCGTTGCATCATATAAATAAAACCATAATTTTATCGCATCACAAGGGTGAGACAACCACATTTCCTCGCATAAGACAGGTGTGAGAACCACCAAATCCAACATGCATATATTTTAGATAAATACATACTTATATAGTATAAATATAGAAAATTTAAAATAAAAACTCGAAGACTAAACAAGTAATTAGTGAAACAAAAAGACTTGTACAGACCACGTAAGTTACTCCATCTCCAACAGTCCAAAGATGGAAATCTTTGGAATATTCTGAACCATTTTTGCTATCTCATCGCATCCAGTACATGCAATAAACACATATTGTAACTCAATTTGTCGCATCATAAGGATGTGATAAAATCAACTCATCACATCAATAAGATGCGATAAACCAAGATCATCGCATCATGAAGATGTGATAACTCAAAGTCATCACATCATATAATGCGATAACAATTTTCATATGATCCAAAAAGGCCAGTTTTTGTTGGTCTCAGTCGGGTCTACAAGAGTTTTAGACAAACAGTTTGTAGAAGGGGGAGATGAATACAAACACAGAAAACTTTCGTATTTAAAAATATTTATTGATAGAGAAAGATCAATACAGTTTTTTTGCGGATTGTTTGCGGAAATAGAAAAGGTAAAGATAACCTATCTAAAACAATCTAAGTTTACACACAAATATACTTAGAAAAATAGAAAAGATTTCTTGAAAAGATAAAGACAGGAGGGTTTTCTTCTTGGGTAAGAACTTTAGAATTCTAGAGAGGGATTCTAACTTGCTTGAAGATAAGTGTATACAGGGGCGGACGCAGTAACAAGGGGTTGGGGTCCTGGGCCCCCAACAAAAATCTCATATGAAAGCCCAAAAAAAAAAATTAGTTATATTTTGAGATTAGGTGTAATTGGGCCCCCAACAAGATGAGGTAGGAGGCCCCTCCCTCTTCAGTCTTCAGTGCAGCCAAGACCAAGAAACGAGTCTATGATTTGTGAAGTGAATCTGTGATTGTGAAGGACTGAAGGGAGTGTGACTACCGGACTACGCCTGCGACTACGTCTGCAACTACGCTTGTGAATCTGTGATTGCCCGCTGCGAGCCTGCGACTGCGACTACGCCTGTGCGCGGTGCGCCTGTGCGCTGTGCCGCCTGTGTGACACACCGGCTCGGCTCCCGCTCACCGCCTCCGCCTCACCGGACCGACTGGCCTGTGGTGTGGCTGTGTGCATCCTGGAGACTTCCTTCTACTTCTTGTCTTCTTGGCAGTCGGCAGAGGGCCAGAGGCTCTTCTCTTGGGTAAAGAAAAAGATTCCAATTTCATTATTTCAATGTTTAGTATTTTAAGTTAGTTTTTACCTTGTGGATTTGTGGTAATTGATAATTGGTAAATGTTTTTAGGTTAATTTTATTGGTTAATTTTGTGGTAATTGGTAAATGCTTTAGGTTAAGTATTTTAGGTTAATTTTGTTGGTTAATTTTGTAGTAATTGGTAAATGCTTTAGGTTAGGTATTTTAGGTTAATTTTGTTGGTTAATTTTGTGGTAATTGGTAAATGCTTTAGGTTAGGTATTTTAGGTTAATTTTGTGGTAATTGGTAAATGTTTTAGGTTAATTTTGTGGTAATTGGTAAATGCTTTACTTTAGGTATTTTAGGTTAATTTTGTTGGTTAATTTCTAATTTCCAACTTCAATTAGTAGTTATTTAGGTTAATTTTGTGGTAATTGGTAATTGGTAAATGCTTTAGGTTAGGTATTTATTTTAAGTTAATTTTGTGGTAATTGGTAAATGCTTTAGGTTAATTTTGTTGGTTAATTTTGTGGTAATTGGTAAATGCTATAGGTTAGGTATTTTAGGTTAATTTTGTGGGTAATTTTGTAGGCAATTAGGCAAATCAAATGGAAAGATTTTTTAAAAGGAAAGCATCAACACCTGAATCGAGCTCTGCTCCTTCGATGTCTTRCRAAATTGAWTTGAMMGATCTTCCTTGRGATCCGGCCGATAGGAAAAAGAKTTCGGAATATCATCCTAATCAAAGGGATGAAATAAGGAGAAAATATTTGCTTAGAGGACCTTGTCAACCACGGGGTCATGCATTTCCAAAAAAATTTGTCGGGAGTGCCCCCTACAATATATTTTTCTGCGTCCGCCACTGAGTGTATATGTTCTTTAGATAGAAGAGTAATCTCTATATATGCGTATGTGTTGGTGTTTTGCATTGAGAGATCACTCAACTTGTTTGTCCCACACTTCACTGATCAATCTTCATGTTATCTTCATAATATGGCAGATCTGGATTTATCTTGTAAGAACATCAAGAACAATATTGAGAGGAAAAATCAATCTCTACAATTCAGTCAAACCTCTCATTTACGTAATATGATTTACAAATGAGCTCTCTCTCTTTCTAATTACAAAGACAACTCCTATTTATATGGTCAAACTACTAAACAATAGTCAAAGTCAAATTTGCCTAAGAAAAGTCAAACACGATGACTTTTACAATTATAGACAATATTTAATTTTCAAGACGAATACAATTAATACTGATTTTCAGTCTTAACATTCTCCCCCTTTGTATTCAGACTTGAAAGAAAATTCTGCACTTTAAGTCCTTGTTTGAACTTTGA